CCCAATTGCTGGGTTTGTCCCTATTTTACCCAGCACTGGGTTGTATTTAACCCAGCATTTTTTAGAGTGTATTCATTTTTCACATTTCCAAGTAAAGCTTAGTTCACAAATAAACTGTTTGTCCTCAGCTGCTCACAATCTGTTGCTGGTCTAGTACCGTTCTTGTTTGTTATTAAAGCAAGATGGCAATCAGGAATAGCTGATATATGGATATTAAGTCAATTAAGAATATTTCTTATTCGGTTTCACTGGGATTTAAAAAAAATGATTTAAAAGAATACCGTTTGGCCATCTTTGGAATAATAACCGCAGTTTGTCCCCGTTTATTTCACGGAGCTGGATGTTTTGGGCAGGTATGCACACTGAAAACAAATGGTAGCCTACATGACGTTACAGAACATACAGTCAGTCCTGGCGACGTCACGAGCGCCCAGCCGCAGGCAGTCAGTCTATCAAGGAGTATTTAATGCTAAAACGGCTTGCCATAGTCAGTCAGTCAGCGCGAGAGCCAAACTGAAGAGAAACGCGCTGAAGAGAAGCGGAGAGAAAGAAGAACCCGCTCATCTGCTCACAGAATTCGGTAAGTTATCACATATTCAAAAACTGTATTTAATTTTCCCGTGCGTGATACATGTTGGGTCAAGTTTGAGTCAGGATTGATGCCAAACTAATTGAGTTTGGTTCATTATTAGGCTGCTGCTGTGGACTGACAGCTTGACTCTTCTTTCTGAGCTTGCTTTACTAAAATTACGCAATATATTTACAAGCAATGAAGCTTGATAGCATATCATATGTCTAACTTAATCAGCATCATGTCTATCTGAAAACACTTACTGTAGCCTATAGATGCTCACAGGACCGAAAATTTGAAAAGATAAATATTAATACAAGCTAAAGCAAACTTTACTCAAATGCTGTTAAACCCGTATGCTTTCTCAATGAAATATTCTTAATGTGAGTGAAATAACGCACAGTTTATAAAAACGATCATGTGTTTTAGAGTCGTGTCAAATTAAACCACACTGGGGGTCATAAAGTTGCTGTACAAAATAAACTCAAAAGCGTAAATCATCATCATATGTGACGCTGTTGTCAAAACCGAGAGTTTGCTGGACATTTGATGTGTTTATAAATACTTCGCAGCTGTCATTAATATGTTAATAATTCAAGTTAGCAATATATATGGGTGAGTTTTTGATAGGGAATGTCTTTTTTTTAAATAATAGTAAAACAAATCATTCTAAGAATAGATTTAGATTTTTTTTATTGTCTGTAATTACTTACCCTATTTATTTTTTAAGACTGTTGAAAGCTGTAAAACTAAAGAATCAGGTTGACATAGCTGACAAAAATGGACATACATTTTTTTTAACACCAAGATTTTAGGTCAAACTTCATATTCTCAAAAATAAAGGTCGACGGCTCCACGAAGAACCTTTAACATTCATTGAACTTTCCCATTACACAAAAAGGGTCATTATAGTGGAAAAACATTCTTCATATTATTAAAATATTTTTCACACTAAGAAAAAAAAAAAAAGATTCTTTTAAGAACTGCTAACAGAAAGGTTCTTTGGGGAACCCAAATGATTCTTATACTGCATTGCTACAAAAACTCCCTTTTTGGAGTGTATTTTGTTGTGACTGGTCACCATTTCATAAAATAAAACTGAGAATTGTTAATCACCTTTTAGCTTTTTGTCCAATTAGCCTACTTCATGTATTTGTGCTATTTAATATGAGGCCATAAAACTAATTATAAGCAGAATGGTTATTTTTAAATAATTCGTATATATTGTTTAAAATAGATTTGGATGAAATATACCATATTACATCAGTACTACTTTCACTTTTTGAAACGTTGTCTTGTTTGAGGTTTTGCAACACAACACTGATAATGGTCTTTCTATTAAATCCTTTATCACTAGATTCAGAATCATTTTGGACTGGATCCGGTTTTGAGTTTGATCCGACTGAGCGTCTAGAAAAAGTCATGAGCTGAACTGAATTATATCGTATAAATAAAGGTTTTAAAGTGTCATATTCAGTCAGTGATCCTCAGAGAATCCTAGGTTGCATTCCTGGTGCAGCACATATAAACCAGTCTATCTTGACCACATTCCCATCCAAACTGGACATTCATCTGATGTCCTTCGAGGTCCCATGACCTGAAGGTTTAAAGGCAATGTTTTGGTCACATTCCTGTGTCCTCACGGCCTCATTCTTTCACACCCCCTGAACATTTCTGCTCAGTGGCCTTAGAGGTCACAGACACTTCGGAGCCTAATGAGAAAGCTGGACTCCCAAACATGCATTTGGTAATGAAGCTGAAAGTGCACCTCAGAAAAAAATGGCAAGCTGTCAGCTGTTGGTGCTATCATGCAGTTGACTTTGGTCTTCTTTATGAAGTCAAGGTGAAGAAAAATCAATTTTTTTGATGTCCTAGCTGAAAACTATGATGCAATACAATAAAATAAGTAGCTTTTGGTGATGTCTGCATGAAACAACATGTGTAACCAAATGTGATATTTTAGAGTAAAAAAGATGTTCAGTGAGGAAAAAATTAGATGTAAGATTAGGCCATTGGGAATACATTGATGAAAAGTGGTTCCTATATCACAAGTGTTTGAAAGGTTGACGGCAGTCAAAAAGCAAGTTATTACAGCTTAAAGAATGATTACATAGAATAGATAGAAGCTTTTTTTATAGTTCACAGTCAGATCAGAGTGTGTAAAAATCTGCATGATATCAAAATTGACCTTTTTTCTTAATGGATACTCACTAGTGTTCACTATATACACTTCTGGTCAAAGGTTTTGAATCAGATTTTTCATGTTTTTGAAAAAAGTCTCTTATTCTCACCTATTTATTTGATCAAAAACACAGTAAAACACTAATATTGTGAAGTATTGTTACAATTTAAAATAACAAATTTCCATATTAATATGTTTTAAATTTTTAAATTGAAATTAATTGAAATTAATTTATTTTTTATTTTATTTCAATTTTAATTACATTTTTATTTCAATTTAGTACTTTATTCCTGATGCAAAGCTGAATATTCAACATCATTACTTCAGTCGTCAGTGTCACATGATCCTTCAGAAAAATATTTTTGTGGAAACCATATTTTCATATGTTTGTATCATCTGACAGATTTTTTTTCCTGGCAAATAAATCTAGTGCAGGCAACATGGAGAAAGACATTGTTCATTTACATATGCTACCGACATATGTCACAATAGAAAGCTGGTTGAAAATTGGCAAAGTTGTGTTCATGTCGTTGCAAACCTGTAGGACTTTCTTTCTTCTTCTGTGTTCTGGAGAAGAAAAAGTCATACACGTTTGAACATTACACTAAAAAAAATGATTCATTGAGTTTACTACATTTTTTTAAGGTAAGTGGTTGCAATCAATTTATTTTAGCTAAATTTAAATAAACAAATTTAGTTGACTAACTTTCAACATTTTTTTATTTAAAGGAGACATATTATGCCCCTTTTTACAATATGTAATATAAGTCTCTGGTGTCCCCAGAATGTGTCTGTGAAATTTCAGCTCAAAATACTCCACAGATCATT